ACCTCTAGCTGAGTTTGGATCTCATAATTCTTGGCATTAGTAGCAAAAGTAGGGAGAATTTTCTTTAGCAACAATAAATATTCACAAATTTGTATTTGAGGGGCTACAAAACAGGATCAATGTTTGAAAACTGGATATGTAGAGCACAGTGATAATAAAGTGGAGAGTGTTGGTTAAAGTAATCATAAAGTTAGCTCTGGGAAGCTTGTTTGTAAAGAGAAGTTAAGGGGCTTGGGGTGTCTGGTAGGTAGAGGACTGAGCCACTGAAACTGCAGGTTCAGGTGAAGAGAGCAAGGAAAGGAGAAGGCAGAGGCTATGGTGGGGAGGATGTGATGAGGCATTGGTTTGGATTTATTATAGACAAAGACACCTAGAATCATTGATAGTCCAATTGAAGGGCTTCCCCTCCTAGAGTTAACCAATTTTTAGAGATAACAAATGATTCTTCTGTGAGTATGCCATTAATATGCAAACCAACCACCTTAGTTACTTTCTCATTGCTCAGACACACCAGACAGACATCCACAACTCTAAGGAGGAAAGGTTTATTTTGTCTCACATTTGGTAGAGGTTTCAGTCCATAGTGAACTAATCTACTGATGAGTATCACACCCCCAAATCCAATAATCTACCTTAAACCTCACCTATGAGCACATGGGACTTTGGAGGGACATCTAGATATGAACCACAACGCCAACCAATCCAGACACTATATCCCTAGGCACCTTATTTTTTTCTAAACTTTATACACCATGTCCAACATTTTCCATATCCTAAGCCACCCCAGGCCCAAGTCCTGGACAGCTAGGGACCATCCCATACCCTATAGCCCTCAGGAATTATCCAAACTTCCCAGTCCTAAACTTGCTCAAGCTTTCTGGCCCTCCTTGCCTATTCTTTCACATGGACCCAATACTCAACGCCAAGCTCTTTCTTTGCTCTTACTGCTTCCTGATCATCCACCTGCCTCATCACGTGCCCTGTGTCAGATGACATGCTCCATTTTCTTGGGAACTGTAGGTAATAAATGCTTCTTTCAAGAGCAGGTGCTTCTATATTTGTGACCTTTGATAGAAGGTTAAGATAAACCAAAAGTACAAATCATTAAGCAGTCTTAAATATTTCAGTATCTAAAACTAAAGCCAACATTACATCCAATGACTAGCTAAACAGGATTTGAGTTTGTTCTTCACATTTTCCAGCCCTGGCCTTGCTTAGCAGACCTTGTGAATCTCTCGCTTGAAAGTATTTTGGGATGTGAAATTCGTTGTTTGGTCCTCTGACCTCTGCACATGCCTCACTGAGGTTCACACAGGTGAATTTGGTGTTTGGGGGCTATATTATGCATTTCCAAATTTGTCCCTGGCTTCAGCATTATAGTTTTATAGAAATGGGAGCATTGCTTGGCACTGCTGATCATTCCACCCTTGCGGGCCTCTTCTCTTAGTTGCCATGACACCGTAATTTCTTGGATTTTCTTCTACTTTTTTGATTGCTCTTTTTAAAAACCTGCTGTGCATTCATTTTCCTCTGCCTCTTCTGTATTTTTATCTCAGAAAACATTTATTGAATGACAAACCCTTATGTGAATATAAGGAAGATATCCAGTGAAGAGTACAGGTTTGTCTTACCTTTATTATCCAGACCCAGACCTTGTGTTTTGGCAGAAATATGTGCAGTCACATATAAAACACACAGAACACACACACACACAATATGTATTTTTGTATGTAAATGCTGGCATGCCTTAAACATGATTCATTCACTCATTCTTTCAAAACTTTATTGTGCAACTACTCCAAGCTAGACACTGTTTAGGGTCTGGGAATACCATGGTAAATAAAGCAAACAGCCTTTAGTAGAGTTTATATTGGGAAGAATGGGTAACTAAAAAGTAAAATATGAGTAAAGACAATTTTCAGTAATGAAAGATGGTTGCATAGTAATGTGTGCTACTGTGAGAAAAGGTAGAGAGGCAACATAACAGAGTGGTCAATGAGCTCTGCTCCTCCAGCAGAGGAATTGGTATTTGGGTTCCTCCAGGAGTCGATATTTGGTTTGAGAGAACATCTAAAGAAGCAGGAGACATCCTGGGGAGCTCTGTGAAAAGAGCATCCCAGAGAGGAAGCAAAAAGTGTAATACCGAGACATGTTAAAAGAAAAGAATGTACTGGAAGGTGCTACCTAATATTTTCTACACCTTGCTTTTTCTACTTTATAGCTTATAGGAGATCTAGTTTCTTATCTACCACAGTTAAAACTGTCCCCATTCATTTTGACAGATGTATAGGGTTCCAACATAGGGACAAACAAAAATTTAGTCAGTCACATATTGGGGATGGGAAGAGATTTGCCAACAGGTACACGTTATAGTTAGATAATAAATTCTGGAATTCTATTGTGAAAGAATTACGGTATTCTTTTTTCCACAACACATATCAATTTGTAGTGTTGAGCCTTGGAAATAAAACTTTTGAAGCAAATAATAGATACCATTAAGTGTAATAAAATCATATCTACTTGCCATCTATTGCAGTTGTAAAAATGTGCACTCCTCATTGAGGCTATACTCTTAAGTGAAATAAATAGGACACACTTGAGTAAATACCAAATAGGTTTTCTGGTGTGAAAATCTAAAAGTGTAAATAAGGTTCAAATAGTATAGTTGAGAAGGTGAAATAGGAAGAAAATGGCCAAAGAGGAGGTGGAACAGGGAGGGGAAAGGAAATAAGGGAAAAGAACAATGTGAAAAAATGGAAACAAAGTCTTCGTAAATAGGGAAGGGTGAAGGGGTTGAAGGGAGGGCAGGGGAATGGGGAAAAAACAAGAACCTAAATGTACAAGATCCCAATGATAAACTTAACTGTATTGTTTGCTCTAAATGTACCAATAAACTTAATGGGAAAAATGTGCATGCCTAACAGCAACGTGCAAGAGTTGCTATCTCACCCTGCCGGACCTCTGCTACTTGTCTTCAGGCAGCTGCTTGACAACTTCAAACACTACTGCTCAGTTTTGTGCTGCATTTGAAATTCTTTTCTATGTGAAAATTTGTTTACATTTCCTTTTCTGTGGACACTCTGCCCATGTCCTTTGTCCACTTTCTCAGTTTGTCTTTCCTCTTTTCATTTTCCTTTTTCTCAGTTTAGAATTCATGAGAAACCTAGTTAGTGTCTGCTTATGGTTTGGGTCTGAAATGTCCCCTAAAGACTCCTGTGCTTATCAAAGACTTGGTCCCTAGATAGTGGAGCAGAAAACTTTGGATTCTGTTTGCACATAAGTAATAAATTCTGTTTTGCATCACATTCAGTAAAGTCACTAATACTTTAATGCCAGTGACCCTCAAATCCTATCCTCAGCCCCCTCTTCTGACTGTGATGGCTCGCTCTGGGAGCTCAGCCTTGCCAACTGCCACGGATACCCTGGGGATTCCTAAACATTCTTCTCTGGGCCAGATTCTCATCTAAGTGTGGTTTGTGCTGCCTTTGTCAATCTGATCAGCACTGAGCTCATGGTCTCCATTTACCCTCCCTCAGCTTACTGCTTTTCCTGGACTCTTCATCTCCGCAAGCCCAATCTCAGCTGTTTTCCAGCACCAAAACTTACTCTCACCCCTGACTGGGCTTGCATGATTTGGTCCCTACCTGTAGGTACAGTATAAACTCTTAGTATAACATCGCAGCATCTTTCTCCCCGCAGCCTCATCATGACCAAGAAGAGCCAAGTCCTGCCTAGTTTCTAGTGCAGCGTGGTCTCATTTGCTTTGAGGCTTTGAGTGTGTGGTTCCCTTTGCCTAGTCTCACCCAGATCAGCTCTCTCTGTCTGGGTCTTACTGTTGTACTTGACTTCAGGTCTTGTATATTACTTGTATGTAAGCTTCTAGCTCCCCAGGTATAGGCTAGTTTTTCTGAAGATCTTGTATTTTTCCTATCAAAGTACTTATTATGCAGTACTGCAGTTGTCTGTTTATTTGCCTGAATTTCCTAGACTTTAAACTGCACACAGTTTTCATTCTTATTCTTGGATTGGTACATAGAGTGCAGTGACAGCCTAATGTTGTTGAATCCTTAATTGTCTAGTTCTTTGGCAGGACTCTATAAACATCTATTTATTGTATTTGCAGATGAACAAGTAAGTTCTGGAACTTTCCCTAGTGTAATTTCCATTTTAAAAAATTTTCATCTTTATTAAGTTTATTGGTACATTTTAGGTATACAATACAGTTACATTCATCACTGAGATCTTGTATCGTTACAAGACTTATCTTAGTTCTTATTTTTCCCCATTCCCTAGCCCTCCCTTCACCCCTCCACCCTTACCTGTTTACAAAGACAATGTTTCCATGTTTGTCCTTTTCACATATTTTTTCTTTTCCCTTTTTATCTTTCCCCTACCCCTCCCACTTCCTCTACGTTTTTAGACCTTTTCTTCCTATTACACAATATCAATTATACATTTTGATCCTTATTTACATTTTTAGTTTTTCACTACACAGACTATTCGGTAT